TGTGTGTGTGTGTGTGTGTGTGTGTGTCTCGCCCTCTTAGTCTCATTGCTTTGGCTACCTTGGGCTGCGTTCCCCGCGCCCACGCGGTAGACAGTCAAATTTGACGCAGCTTCAGAACCTGCCTCCTCATTAATCCTCCTTTTTCTTTCTTTCTTTTCTTCCGCATGTGCCTTCAAACACACCCTTTACTTGTGCCTTCAAACACACCCTTTACTTTTCCATCGCCGTCTTCCAACTTTCTACCGCGTTCTACCCTTGTCTAACTCAGCTTCAACCTCCCAAAAATGACGTAATGGCAGAAGTATCCGGCTCCCGCATATTCTCTCAGCTTAATATTTCTTCCGTATTTTCGATATAAAGTTTTCAAACATTTTCAAGTTTTCACCTATTCAGCCCCCACAGCCTCTCTCCTGCCCTCCTCCTGCAGCTGCTGTCCCTCCGTCTCTTGGACCACCATCTCCTCCTCCTCGTCGTCCTCCACAAATTCCTACGTCCCCGCTTGCTGCATCTCCTCGCCCCCCTCTTCACAAACAAATTATGCACTGCACGCACGCCTCCTCTTCCTCCTTTCTCTCCTCCTCTGTCTCCTCCTCCTCCTCCTCCTCCTCCTCCTCCTCCTCCCCCTCTCCTTCCTCCTCCTCCTCTTCTGAGTGCAGTACGTGCGGAAGTGAAATGATTGTACTCTCAAAGCGTATATGAAGAGCAGTTTGGGCGCTGTTTTGCCGATCTTCTTCTTCTTCTTCTTCTTCTTCTTCTTCTTCTTCTTCTTCTTCTTCAGGCGGACAGACAGGTGGATGCGGGAGTGTGGTTTGCCCCTTGATAAGCCCTGGAGCGCAGCCAGGCGAAACGTGTCAGGGAATGTGCGCGTTTGTGAGCTTTAATGTCCATGCAGGCTGTTGAATATTCGTAAGCGTGGACACGTGGTGATTGGTCTCTCCATTACTGATTTCTTCTTCTTCTTCTTCTTCTTCTTCTTCTTCTTCTTCCTTCTCCTCTTCTTCCTCCTCCTCCTCCTTTTTCTTCTTCTTCCTTCTCCTCTTCTTCCTCTCCCTCCTCCTCCTCCTCCTCCTCCTCCTTCATCTTCTTCTCCTTTTTCTGCTTCTTCTTCTTCTTCCTACTCCTCCTCCTCCTCCTTCACGCACCTGGACGCCCTTTGCCAATTGTTTCTTCTACTGTATGCACCTGAACACCCGCAATGACATCATACGTTCTATTTCCCAATTAATCCCGTTCTCTTGTCCCTCCACGTCATCATTAACCACCTTCTCCTCCCGGTGGCATGGTAGCTGACGTGGACCCCGTTTGTGCGCCTTTTTCCCTTCTTCTGCCCCGTTTTTCTCCTCTCCGACTTCGTCCGCATCCTCTGCATGTCCAGCTTCTTTCTGCCACTAGTCATCGACCGCATTTAGCATATGGATGAATGCACGGATGCCGTGGCGGCGCAATCATCCCGCCGCCGCCTTCGTTACTTCCGCTGCCATCTTCTCTAGGGGTAATGGCAAAGAGGATTGGATTTAGCGCCTGAATCTGGGCGTGTCTGCCGAGAGGTGCAGAGACTGGCGATCGATCTGTTTTTTTCTGCATCTTTGCGTAAGACGCATGCAGATTCAGGCGCTTAATCCAATCCTCTTTCCTCGGGGGGACCTCGCCCTCAGTCACTGATCACAGTGATTATTATTAGTAGTATATTCAAGCCCCCGTCGCCCGCTCCGCGACTCCCCCGCCCCCCGCCTCTTCCAAGAACAGCGGAGGGCTGCTCGGCCCTCATCTACGTGATGACAGCGCGCAATCAGAAGCAGAGAGCGGAGAGCGAAGGGAGGAAGAAGAAACGGATTCGCAAATTTTGATAACCAACAAAAGAAAAATAACAAAGAGTACAAGCACGCCAAAAAAGAAAAAAAAAATATTCCACGCGAGAGCAGGTATAACAGGGAGCGTGTGTGCACGGCATGTACAGGAGGGTCGTAGCGGGAGAGAACCGAGAACCAGGGCGTAATCACAGTCCACAGGAGATCATAATACCTGTAGCAGAGAAATAAAAATAAGAAAAATATATATATTGAATAAGGGCATACTCACACTAGGACTTTTTTACGTATTACTCGACGGAATTGCCAGATACATCCAGGGATGGCCGTGAATGCGGTCAGATACGTTTGAGATATGTGAGTACGCCCTAACGGCTTTTGCAAAAAAAAAAAAACGACGCTCTTGCATGTCACCACCTCCCGCCCTCCCCGCCCAAAAAAAAAAAAAAAAAAAAAAAAGAGGCGAAGAGGGGGTCTTTGTTTCTGTACGTACCAGGCGGGTGTGCTCATGGCTAAGCTATGGGGCATAACGCGCCAGTGTAGAGACAGACCAGCAAAAGCATGTTCCACGGTTAACCCAATTGTTACGTCGGGTTTTATAAATGCCCAGAATGTTGCGTCCGTTAGCCCACGGTTAACCCAATTGTTCCGTCGGGTTTTATAAATGCCCAGAATGTTGCGTCCGTTAGCCCACTTGATTGCTTTTTTTCCCTTTCGAAAAACAAAGCACTCATTTCATTTCTTCAAATCAACAGGGGCGATGAGGCCGGGGGTTAACGTCCCATTTATTTACCTGGATTCCTTGTTCCCAACCGTCGATTCTTGTCATCCATGGCCCAGATCGAAGAACCCCGGGCAAGTGGGCCCTCGCCTCGAGAAGCCTCACAACTACCGGTAGCGATAGAATGGAAGAGGACGTGCAAAAAAAAAAAAAAAAAAAAAAAGAAGAGGACGTGCTCATTCAGGGAAAAGCAGTATACTCGACAACGATTGTTAGGAAAGTCTCCACCAGGTGGTCCCACAGCATCAGCCACTTGAACCCCCCAACTGAACCTGAGCTGATAAGTTTGTGGTCGCAGCTGCAATTGCTTCCATCCCAGAAAATCGCTTCCCTATTGTGGCTTCAATCTCATCTGGCAGTCCCTACAGCTCAATGGCTGACAGAGAGGGGTGTAGAGGTAAGAATCACCTGTGATAGATGCCAGGAGGCTCCAGAGACGATGCAGCATCTCTGGTGGGACTGCCCGAGATCAAGGAAGTGGTGGAGATGGTGGGAGTTTCACTGGAAGCGTTTTCCTGGGAGATCTGACTTGGTGGGACAACGTTGGGTGCTCACTGGATCTCTTCCAAGGAATTACAGGATCTCAGAAGGTTGGGGGTATGTTGCGCAGGTGGGCAGGGGGATCATGCTTTGGGTTATTTGGCTTGACAGGAACAGCCTCAGGTTCCAAGGCAAGAGCTTGGAGGAGCAAGCAGCGGAAGCCCTGTTCAAGAAGCTGCTTGCTGCAGCAATCCGGGCTGACTGGATCTGCAAGGTCCAACAAGGGGAGCAAGTGCAGGGCAGGAGGTGGTTCGATAAAACATGGGGTCTGGGGTTGGCACATATTTCGATTGAGGGGAAGTTGGTTTTGGGGAATTGGCTAAGCTGAGCTCTGGTGAGAACCTGTAACGCGCAACCTCACGCCCTGTGCTGTCTTCCATTCGGAGTGTTAGGCATGCGGAAAGAGGCCCAGAAAAACTGTAAGATGGGGTGTGCCAAGGATTTTTGGAAATTGAGTGTGGGGACACAGACAGAACTGAAATCCCCCGCGTGGGTCCGATGAAGCAAGTTGATCGTTTTTCGCGCGTCGCGGAACGCGCGTGGACAAGGCGGGAGAAGGGAAGAATCCAAATTCAATCCAAAAAATATTGTCGCACTTCCCACCGGGCTACGGCCCGTCGTTTAGAACGGAAAGGCTTTGGCACGCTTCGCGTGTCCCGTTTCCGTATCAAGTCTCGTCGTCGTTCGCTGGTTAGTTCCGAGTCTGACGTGGATGGTCTCAGCCGTGTGGCTCTCTCCTTGTGCTCGTCTTCACTCTGTATCCGGTAGTGAAAGCCTTTCAATTCGTAGCGATTGAAACGCTGGCACTCAGTGCACAAGGTTCGAGGCCAATGAGGCGCTACAGTCGTCCACGGAATGACGATTAATTCGTTAAATGGGAGCAGTATCGAGTAGGGTGGGAAGTGGGTATCGATAATGACAAAGCCCGCATCTACGAATCCAGAACAACGATTTTCGGAAGGGAAGAAGTATTGTCCGTCGATTAGTGCGACGGCTTCTCGTACGTCCCACTCACATACACGTGTCCTTTCCTCGTTATAGGGAAAAAGTCGTGTCGGGATGGGGGATACGGGAGGCTGGCGCCTGATCGGAGGGTACTGGTCAGTCCGCATATCAATCAATTGCAAAGACCTTGAGAGGTCATTAGGGGAAGAAAAACGCTTGCACAACTTACAATCAATCTCTTTCGATACGAGAGAGAGAGTGAAAAGAAAGTGTCTCCTCAGCTTGAAGCATGCATATCTATTCGTGGCTCGGGTTTAGTTAGCCAACGCGGCATGTGGTTCGGTTGCTGATGTCGTGCAGCATAAGGCAGATGGCATGCGCAGCTCTTTCAGAGCTACAGATCTAAATACTCTTGCATTTTCGAACAAAATCCCGACGACGATCGTCTAATCAACATGAAAAAGAGTCGCACATTTCCATACATGCATTCACTGTGGAAGGTGCGAAAATGAGACATGCCCCGGAAAAGATGGGTCGTATTGCACAGTACACACGCATCCACCGTTCACAAGACAAGAAGGCGGGGTCCTTGCGTAGGAGGATTACCCAGGAAACTAATGAAAGAGTTCCGGAAGAAGTTCTTTTAAGCAAGGAAAGCGCACCGATTCGCTCCTACTCAGGAGAGAAAGTGAGAGACATTCAATCGAGACACATCATTATTCAAAAGTAGAGAAATGAGAGGGGGGGGAGGGGGAAGAGAGTCAAGATAGGTGATGACCAGATCTGGAAGAGAGACATTCGACATGACCGCCATGCACTCACGCCAAAGATAAAGATCCGCAACAATAAAGGCGCATTCGCCGGTAATTCCAATATGGCCCCGGGCCAATTACTCACTCAACTCCAATCTTCGATCCTCATACCCGCACCGACGATCCCGGCCGCCGCGTGCTAACTCCCACCATTGCGATCGTCACCCCGCTGTCGTAAACTCGACGCGATTCGCCCAGATCCCACAGTCCGTTGTGGCGATCCAACGCGCAACCGGTCAGCCTATCGTCAGCCTGACAGGACTTTTCGACTCGCATCAACACTCTACCTAGCCACTGCTTCCCTGAAGCTGGCTTAGGAGTCGAGAACGTAAGAGAGATTTGCGGGCGCGCTTGCGGGTTTTATAGTTGCGAGAAAGGAGATAGAAGGGGAAGAGAACGACGGGAAGGCGGGGGTGTAGGAGGAGAAGGAGGAGAAGACTCTGAGAAGATCGCTTCGAGAACGCCATGTTGATCCCTCGGAACTCAAGGTTCAACCAATCAGATTCGTCGCGCGATAGGAAGGTCATATCGATCCACGCACCTGATTGGCGAGCGGGAGTTATCGGGGGATCGACCGGGCATCGTACGCCAGACTCAGAGGGTGAGAAGAGAAAAGGCACGAGAGGTGGCGCAAGACAGGTCCAAGATTCAGACGATCAAGAAAGGGAAGTGGGCGCGCAAACAGCAAGACGGGGGAGGGGGAGGGGAGAAAGAAACAGTTACAGGGAGAGAGAAAGAGGAGGGAGAAGGAAAGGGAGCGCGGGAGGGACCGCTACAGGGGGGCAGAGGGGAGGAAGCTCTGCATGCACGGCGCGTCAACAAAAAAAAGAGAAAAAGGCACTGAAACAGTTACAGCTTGCTTCTATCCTAATTCAAAATTGAAATCACCATATCCGCGCGCGAAAGAGCGACGCGGGAAAAGATAATCCTACGCCTATTCGTATCCGGACGAAATTCCGAAAGTTTTCTCCGGCGCGACCAAGAACATTCACACACTCGAAAAGGACACGTCAAAGCTCCGCTTATCCCGGAATTCCCAACCGCTGAGCCCAATTCCCAGTGCACTCGCTAAGGCGCACGTAAATTCCCATGTATTTCCCGACTTTGCAAAAAGAAAAACAGAACCCAGAAGTCGAAAAAGCTCTAAAAAAAAAAAGGAAAATGCGGCACCCGAAAGCAAGAAATCAAAACGGGGTTTTCCTGGGGTTGGTATGATACAAGCAAAAGAAAGGGTACGAAAGATGGCACGGGTTTGGGAAATGGTTCGTCTTTGGGGAATCGGCTAAGCTGAGATCTGGTGAGAACCAGGGCACTCGGTTCTAGTGGGCGGCCACGGTAGGCCGCAAAAGGAGGGTGTAGTCGGCCCCTTGGACACCGTCCTCTCTGCCATGGTCAGGCGGGGCCTGTGGCCAGTGGCCCAGGAGGTTGACCTTGACTGTTGGTGGAGAGTGCCCCTCCTGCCGCATTAGGAAGGGGTGTTAGGTTAGATTAAATTAGGTATAAAGTAGGTAGGTACGGTAGGTTTAGTAAGAGGGGTTGGTTCATTTGCACGTTGAGAATTCCTTAGAATATTTCTGCGGTTATTCGAACAGCTCGATGGGGATATCTGGTAGGATCGTTCATGATAGGGATTAGTCTTGTTTGACGAGAAGTAAGCTAAACTGGCTGATGCTGTCGGGATAACTCCGGGTTGAATTGTGAGGTCCCCGGCCTCAACTCGTTTCATTTGGAATAGAAGGAATGATTGATAAAAAAAAAAAAAAAAAAAAAAAAGGAGTATACTGAATTACTGAAGATGAGCCATGCATGGACAGAACACTCTTCCCTACTCATAGAATGGCACCAAAAAAAAGCAAAGGGCAAATGGGTGCCCAATGGCCAGACGGTGGAAGGAAGACTGTGAAAGGATGATAAATCACAGGTGAAATTTGATGAGTGGTGGTAAGATCGAGCCCCACTGACTTAGAACCAGCACAAATTTTCTCTATTCGTTGGTCCTTCAGCCTTTCTCCCTTTTTGAGCTCTTGTGGTATGGTTCATCAGACGACTTCGCTGAATTCCCAGGTCCAAGCAGCGGCCTACCGTCGTCCCCCGAGCATAACGCACCCTAAAAATGAATGTATACAAGTTAATATTTCCGCCGGCCAAAGACAGCCCAAATATGGGTGCGTTGTTTTGGGGGGAAGACAGTACTCATCCTTCGTCAAATTTTCCTATATACTTTCATGATTGCCCATCGGTGCCTCCCCACCAACAACTGGATAGTTGACGAAGGATAGTTGACCGTACTCGGGGGCATCAGTGAGCCCTTTCTTCCCCCTGCCCGCCTTCCGTCCTGTGCTACTACGGGAAACCGGGTTCGGTGTTCCTTATCCCTTTCCTTACTCTTCCATCTATGTGGAAAACACGTCCAGCGTCCCATTCTACCCCAATCACCTGTTCTATCCTCTTGCTGACCCTCCCTCTCCTTGTCCCCCGACCACTGCACCCCGGCTACCCACCCGCACTTTCGTCCCCAAAACCATTCATT